TCCGTAGACGCTCACGCAAAACAAAATAGCCTCAATTTATTGGTAAGGTTTGTTCTCTGTTTCCTTAAGCACGCTACAAATTTGCCACAGAAAAAAGTAATATGTGATCAGTTCTTTCCATTACAGCTGTCACCTTTTATCTTCAGGTATATATTAGAAAGATTTAATTAGATATAAAAAGTTGGAGAGACAAGAGACATATAATGCAAAGACACAGAGACATGACAGATCCTCAGGTTTTTGGTTGTTGTTTTTTTGGTTTGTTGCTAAAATTATCTGAACCCTATAATTTGGTGACACTTTCAAAATATCCAGTGTGCTTCATACAGTTAAAATTGTAAAGTTAATAGGCTTGACTTTTGCACTCATCATTGTCACGTCAAATCTGATCTGATGTCTCTTGTCAGGACAGAGGCAGACCAAAAACTCACTGGTGTTTACAGAAATGCTACCACCACCCTCAGTAATGCTTGGTTCCAGATCTTCCTAAATAACCCCGAGTGCAGTGGAATGAAGGACGAGACTCCAGCTGACTCCTTCAGCCACGCTGGAAAAGCCAGACGGAGCTGAGCACACGCAGATGTAACCACAGCAGAAGCCATGTCAGCAGCTACAGCCCACAGCAAGATCCTTCCCTCTGTAGGGATCAGAGTTTGCCAGCACTAGAAATTTATTTTTTTTTACCCCTTCAAATACGTCTTCTCTAATTTATCTGATTAATTAGAATTTCTCTCCCTAGGGGGTCACTCAGTAGTGCTCTATTAAAACACCTAAACAACACAAACATAAAAATGCCTCCTTTTTCCTGCGGTATCTGGCCAATTTAAATGTTCAAAACTTCACTCTTTCCCCCAGTGCCACTGGGACGCCTTTGACACTGAACAGGACAGGAGGCCCTCATCCTCCTCTCCCTCTCGGGCTCCTTACACTTTTCCCCTCACACTTTGCACTTTTCTCCCCTCACACTTGGCACATTTTCTCCTCACTTTCCACTTTTCCCCTCACACTTTCCACTTTTTCCCTTCATACTTCGGCCCTTTGTCTCCTCGTTTTCCATTTTTCCCCTCACGCTTTGCCCTTTTTCTCCTCACTTTCCACTTTTCCCCACACGCTTGGCCCTTTTCCTCCTCACTTTCCACTTTTCTCCTCATGCTTTGCCCTTTTACTCCTCGTTTTCCACTTTTTCCCCCTCACACTTTGCCCTTTTTCCCCTCACAATCTGCCCTTTTTCCCCCTCATACACTGCACTTCTTCCTCTCACACTTTTCCCCTCACACTTTGCCCTTTCTCCCCTCACACTTTGCCCTTTCTCTCCTCACACTTCACACTTTTTCTTCCTCCCACTTTGCCCTTTTTCCCCCCTCACACTGCACTTTTTCCTCTCACTTTTCCCCTCACACTTCACATTTTTTCTTCCTCCCACTTTGCCCTTTCTCCCCCTCACAATTTTCAC